AATAATAACCCATGTAAACTAAGATCAACTGCGATCGGCTGTGAAAATTATCTGCTGAATGTAAACTTGTAAGTTTGTTTGTCCGAATTTCGCCTTTGTCTTCGATTTAATGACGGGGCGCTCCTGATAAAGATAACCTATCCACCAGTCTCATTTCATATTAAATCTCATGAGTTAGTACCATACTTTTATTTATTTATTTWAAAAAATATATAACATCCAAGGTACCAGCCGATGCGGGGGTTCATTTGCACCCATTGAACCACCCTAAATCCGCCACAGCAGGGAGGTGTACCTATAGTTTAAACCTCTTTTACCTCAAATCAGTATTAGTCCCGGTAATTGAAACAACCATTTCCATACATGAATTAACATTAATTTATGGTTGCATTAAATTGAGTGACTTTCCCCTGGTCCCCGGGAAAAGATTAGTTATCCAAGTTATTGCTGTTACAATTATTAAACTGTTGAATTATGTATTCAATTCCCCGTATACCGAGCATGATTTACGATGTTACACCAAGACAATTTTCTTTACATATCCAGAAATGTCGACTGACTTACTTCTTGTTGTATTCATCCATAACATTTCCAAATTCTTTGGCCTCTTTGATGACGGCCGCTTCGTCATTGTTMTCCGAGGATTTGTTTAAACATTTCTGAAAATAATCCTTAATCTCGATAACCTTGTCTCTCGTTTCTTTTTCCAGTTGATTCCAATTCATGACATCATCAAGTTCTTGTTTGACACACTCGTAACTATCGTTGTCTTCGTTGGCGATCAATGATATCTTTCGATACCCGTCCGTGAAATATTTAAGACATTCCATCGTTTATCAGTATATCTTTAAGAAAAAGATACTCAGTTTGATTATTAGACGAATCAAAAAAATGGCCTTTATAAAAGTAATTAAAGGGAGGAAGGCAGTCATTAGTAAAATTGGATAGTCACTRTTTTCAAAACACAGTGACTATCCAATTTTGGCAATGTGGGTTCTTGTTTTGGTAAAGACAGAACCGACGTGTAGCGGAAATAATTACAAAGTTTTCTAAGATTTTTGTTCTTGTAATGATCTTAAAATCACCAATATTTTAGTTGCTAGAATTTGTGGAAAACGTCTGTAAAATAATACTGATATAAGCGGTTGGACCATGCTCAATGAATCGTGATTTCGTGCCCAAGGCTCCATTCATCAAAACCTGACGAAGCTGGTCCAGAGAGATCAAGAATAAATCATTTAGAATCTCTTGGCTTACTTACCTTTGACAACGGTTTACAAGAGGATGATCCAAAGCGATACCGTTAATAATTATTTCGTCTGTGCTCACCTATATATAATCTGAAAATACCGTAGAGGACAACTGATTATTGACGCGCTAAAATTCTATCGAGGTGAGCAGGTCACCTAGGTTACTTTGTGATAATAAATGCGCCCCTCAGTTTAAAAGTAACTCTTACTTGCTCAATATCCAGTTATCTATATCCTTTAGTAAACAAAACCAGCGTTAAAAGGCAATAAATATGGGTAATAAGATGTTCAATATTAATTTTTGTATTGGTATTCATTGGACTCATCAAATCAAATGATCAACATAAGTTTCTTTCAGTGTTCAACTGTTTCAATAACCCAATAATTGAAAAGGATGGGAAAAGATTAACGCTTTCAGTTGAGTAAATCGAAATGATAATTTTAAGCATTATAAAGTGCATAAAAGGACGATTCCTTTAAATTCGGTTGAGCAAGTACAATATTGGCAACCGTCGTTCCATTCTGGCAACCATCGAAGTTGTCAACTAACAAGCAACATATAGTGCGGAAAGGGAACAAGTCTCTATCGAAATGAAAACATTATTCTTCATAGCAGATAAAATCACAGCAGAAACAATAAAAAGAGACAAGTTACCTTTCTTAGCTCATGGCAGGACCTGAAGCAGCCAACCAAGATTTGGCACGCATTTGATCGTGTAGCCGGACCTGCCAGGAGAATAAACTACCCTTTATCGCTCCTAAAACTGCTAGTTATGAAAAAATTAGACTCGCACCCTTTTTACTGGCGGTCGTGATGGAATCACTAAACTATTCAATTATTTAGAATCAGAATACAGTTTCAATTTATTTCCACCTGTGATGATAATAAGCACTACTGATTGGCCAAGGTTTCGGAAATAGCACTATGATGGTTAACGGGTCAGCCATGCTAAAAAGATTCACCTGCTAAACTATATGTGATACTGATGAGCAATGATAACCATAACAACAGCTGATAATTAATGGATGAAAACACTGAAATTATAGATTGTCATTTTTTCAGCCCTGAAAGACTCTTATCATTAACTATGATTACAGTAAAAGATTTTATAGAAAAGTTGTCTCAAATAAAGAATCGATTACAATAACGTGGTTACTACCTTGAAACTCGATTTTTTTATGAATTTTGCTCGGCTCTCGGTACCGCTACTGACACGGCACGGATCGAATTGAACCAATCACATCGAGCTTTGGGATAAAGGGAACAGATTTGAAATGGTTTGCTTCCTATTTAACAGATCGGTTCCAGCGCATCTCTCTCGACGGAAATTGTTCTGATGCAATCCAACTAGAGCAAGGCGTTCCACAAGGGTCCTTCTAGGTCCTATGCTGTTTACTTTATATGCTAGTAAATTTTGGTGGTCAAGAGACATCTGCCTAGTGTGCACGTCTATGCAGACGACACGCACATGTATTATATCTTGCGTTCAAGCCTGACAGTGCCTTGAATACTGATGAAGCCGTCGCTGCTATGGAGCTCTGTGTGCGGAAAATCAGAACGTGGATGCTAAGCGGATAAACTCAAGATCAATGATAGCAAGACCGAGTTTACCATAATTGGTACACGCCAGCAGCTGGCTAAGGTTCACGTAGATTACCTCAAGGTTGGAGAGGCTAGCTCGTGTGCAATCTGTGAGCTCAGTAAAGAATCTTGGAACTTGGTTTGACCGCAACTTAAGTCTTCAGGAGCATATAAATAAAACTTGCAAAGCAGCTTACTTTCATCTTACMAATGTTGGGCGCATAAGGAAATATTTGAGTAATGAAGTGACACAAATACTTGTTCATGCATTAATTATAGGGCGCATAGATTATTCTAACGGTATTCTACATGGATTTCCAGCAATAAACATTACGAAATTATACACATGAAGAGTCCAAAATTCAGCAGCTAGGCTTATATATAGTATACCTAGATACTCTCATATTACACCAGTCGGTTAAATTTAGGATAGATTTAAAGTTATCTTATTTACTTTTAAAGCAATTAATGGGCTTGCCCCAAGATATATATGTGAACTGGTTAGCATTAAGGATAACAATTCTTATAATCTTAGATCTTCTAAAGGTTTGCTTCTGCAGCCGCCAAGCTTTTTGACCAAAAAGGCCAAAAAGACACTAGGAGACCGTGCTTTTTCGGCGGCTGCTCCGAAGTTATGGAACAATTTACCACAAGAGATACGTAACGAGAGACATTTAATAGATTCAAGACGATGTTAAAGACCCACCTTTTTAGACTAGCTTTTAATTAGATTTCTTTTTATTTAATATTTACAAATTAGTTTCCCATTTGTTTTAACGTGTTGGGCCCGTTTGGACGTGGAATTTCGCGCGTGCCCGGTCTAGTGCAGATGGGCAAACTAATGTTTGGTTTGTCTGCATTGCATTCGGCGCGTGCGGGATTCGACGTCTAAACTGAACCTTAGTTATTAAATCTTTTATATACTCTTTTTGTAGTTTTTTTTTAGAGATTTTATGCCTAGTATTTTAGTGTACCTATATGTAATGCGCAGTTGATCATATTAACATGTTAAATTGCGCAATACAAATA